TGCCAAGATAATAATTTATTAGAGTGAAGAGATTCTCCACTGATATAATATATAGGAAGACTAATGATTTTATCAAATTTATATATTCATAGAAGATAATTTATTCCCGCGGGAATGTGGGGGAAAAAAATGCTTCATTCAATTACTGCGTGTATGATGAAAATGATGTTTTCTATCATCTTTTCTTTTTCAATTTAATTTTCAATTTATTTTTTATTTTTTTACAAATAGTTTTTTTATAAACAGTAATGCAGAATTTGTAATTATGGGGAAATTGAAAATTAAATTATTACACGAAAGTCATCTTGTTGTCTCGACCCTATGATGTTAGGGTCGAAAACAATCTTTTTCGCGAAACGAAATAATTTGTAAAAAGTGATCTAATCATTATTTTATGAATTAAAAATAAGAAAATTAGTGGTAGTTTAGTCCCTAAAAACCCCGAGGAACAGTATTCGATCGAAATTCAGGGACCTAAAAGTAAAAAAAGGTAAAAAGTGTCGAGAATGTAAATATCGAATTAAGGAAATGAATACTTAGTCTATAATTTTGATTTGAACAAATCTTAATCCCATTATAGCAATTACGGCTAATATTCGAATTTTGAAATCTATCATTATCTGTAAAGAAGGTCATGACGATTATAGTCGCAGAGTGTGTTAATTATAAAATGAAATACCCTTTTTACAAAAGTACTTATTAGTCAATTAATGCACACTTTTCGATACTTATATAATTAATTTTTTTCTTGCAACGAAAATCCCTGATTTAATGTCATTTAGATTCTTCATCTTCTGTATCGAATCATAAAATTTCAAATTGAAAAAAAAAGAATTAAATTATTTCTCCTCCTCGTTTAAATATATTTCGATTTCTCTAATATGTTAATTGGATAATATAGAAAAGAAAAATTAATAACTTTTATTTCAATATTCCCTCTTAATTGGAAAGAGAAAAGTTTAATGATTTTAGAAATTGAGGGAAATTTACATTTCAATGAATTTCATAATTGCGTAAAGTATATAGACAAAAATGAAAAATTTATTATCGTGTTATTTTCACGTAATAAGTATGTATGTGTAGGGCTTTAATTTTACAATTTAGTTTTATATTGAAAAATATGATGATGTTATTATAGATTAGTATACCTTTGGATAATAGGATAATAATGTAAAATAAGAAATAATTTGTTTATGGTAAATATAATGGAGGAAAATATAATGTAATTTAATAAAATCGGTATGTTCCGTTAAACATCGCACAACTCTCATAGGTCGTAAAAGCGGGAATAATAAAAAGCTTTTAGCATTCGCTCGAGTAGTTTTAGTGCCTTAAAAAGTGACGCATATGTATGAGACTTGTGCATTTGGAAACATATTCTCATTGTCAGTTTCCTTTTGAAAAACATGGTATAGTTATGTGGGTACAAGAACAGGTGGAAGAGCTTCGGTTAGTTTCCTGCCTGCCTACCTGTTCGTCTGCCTACAAATTTAATGCCTACGAGAAAAAACTTGATAATCTTCGAGAATATTTGATAATACAATTATTGAGTGCCCATTGCGGCTTTGATGTAGGAAGAATCTGTTGCTTCATCGTAGCTTTTATTCGTGTTAATGAAAAACGGATGTGGTGTTGCGAACATCGATATTATGCTGCACTAAAAACCATCGTTTCTATGCCACTCTAAAAATTTTCTGTTTTAAAAATGCTTCCCTATTCCGTAGTTTGATTACAATTTGGAGCCTAATTTTCTGAAGTAGCGTCTCGATACTGTCAACAAAGTTTCTTTCTGCGAAATTAAAAAGAATCTCTATTTTTTTCGTTTCGCGTAAAGAAACCATCTTGGCGAAGATTCAGTCCAAACACAAAGTTTCAGAGCAGTACAATTAGTGCCATTTTAATCCCATTTTTCACCTGAAGTTGGTACTTCATCAGGGACCTTTTATACCATTCTAAATAACGAGACGCGTTTCGAACAAATTGAGATATTTTCTAAAGATTGAAAGAGGATGCAAATTCGATATTTAGTTGCAGTACAAGTAAACATTAGATTGCAATTTTGCAATTTCACGGCACGTATTTAATTTTTTCTTGTTCGGGAAGGATATTCTCTCTCTACTCTCTCGGAACATATATAAGTGCACAGGCATACGTGTCATATTAAGAAGTCACGTTCCCTCCAGCACCATTTCTTTTTTGGACGTTTGACTTGTCACGACTCGATAAGAGAGAAGTTTGCGCTTATAAGCTTAGTCGCACAGGTATATCATGTCTTATGCGCGCGTTTATGTCGGGAACTTGAGACGCATACAACACAAATGTACAAATCGCGTTTGCAAATGTTATACATTGAAATACACTCTCCTGCTTTAATCAAGGAACAGCGAATTCTTATAAGCGTTAAAGCACTATCAAGCTTGGCATTCAATTGTTTTCGTATCTCAAAAACAGTGATGGATTATTGTACTTAGCACCATTTGGCTAATTAATGATGTGTTGCGTTATCATATTTTTGATAGCAGTTGTGCTATTTAGGTGTGAACCTACATTTTATTCCGGGCCCTGTTGTTTCTGTTCTTTTTAGAGAAAAAGGAATTGTTTCGTTTACTATCGGATTGGTAATATAGAACAAATTCCTGTTCCTGAACTGTTGGTTCGTGTTCGAAATCTATTCGTTTTATACTATTTTTATTACTTTCTAAAACAAAGAAATCTGCATCTGTATATTCATGCTACTAATTTAGAAATTGGGGCAAAAAAAAAAATTTTTCCCCCAAGTTGAAGTGCTAAAACTGAAGCTAATTTGATTTCTTTTAATCAGCGAAGAGAAAATAGGTGTTAAATTTTGCCAGGTGGAAGAGCGTTGAGCTGACAAGCGGAGCAGGTAAAACAGACGTGGTGAAGCTACTTTAACCTGTTGGTTGAGACAAGATCCGGTAACCTGAGGGCCTGGGCTCGAAACAAGAATGGAAAGGGAAAACAGGAAAGGCTCCGCCAAGTGAATCGAGTAATGTCCTCGACTCAGAATACTCCACACTCTCGCAGGCTTCAATAATTATTGAAGCATACACCTGCTTAATTCCACATTTCTCAAGTGTCCATAATATGAATGATTATTTATTTATCGATCAATTTAATTATTGACCTAGAACACTCGTTTATTCATCGAATGATCAAACGATCATTACGATCGTTTACCATCGATCGTTTACCGATCTATATGGACGAACATATATTTATCAATCTATAAGAACTATTTATTTATCGATCTTTGTCGACTAATACACTTGTTTATAATGATCGTGTTGGAGCTTTTTCGCAAGCAATATTGCGCGATTGTGATTCTTATAAAAGAATATCAGAGAAATGATTCTACACATTGAATAAAGTAGATAATTTATTTATGCAATCTTTCGAATGCAACTCTGTAATTCACGTATATGTGTGTATATAGTTAATATTTATACGTAAAGAGATACCCATGAAGTTACTCTGGTAGCACATTTAATACATATTCTACTCACTCTTGCGTGCTCTTGCGTATAAAAAGTAAAATGTGAAAACCTGTATTTGCAATAAGATAGAAAAGAAGTAAATCATCAGATTGTTGACCTTACCGCACCACGTGCGTGGGAGCCTCTTTTATAATTTTAAAGACAGTTCACATCTTTTCCTTTGGAGTTTAATAGACACGAGTTAGTTAGATTTTTGCAGACACCTCTGATTTCACTTATATTCCAATTCATTTCGTTTGCTATTGGATAATCGCTTTCACGCTTTACCAATACCTATAATTGAAAACATCTCCCGCTTTAGAATATAGAATTTCCTACTGATTCGAAATTTTTAGTTTCATGAATTTTTGAAGTAAAGATTTTCTTGAGGATATTAAATTGTGTTTTGAAGGTTGCAGAAAGTTTCCGTGGGGGATCGTAAGATATTTTTCAATTAATGGTTTCGAATTCGGTACGGGGTGAATGTCGAGACAAAGGTGTCTGAATGTAAAATCTAATTCTAAAGCATCGGACAAATTTCACTAATGCTGTGCAGAGATCCCATTCTTAATTTTTTTTAGCCATCGGGTTTCGTCTACTTGGCACACATTGGGTCTGATTCCGCTACGGTATTTCAAGTGAAGACGCCAAAAAAAGAGTTGAACTGAGCTAAAATTATCTTCTTATATAGTAGACTCCTTTCTTTTATTTCATGTCGTGAGAATTTTAATGTTTCCTCTTTTCGTTTTTACGCGCCATCTATTTTTTATTACAATAATTCCATAATTTCAGCAAAATATACTTTCTGTGGAGTCGTTTCCTGTTTGAATCCAAATTGCTCTCCTTATAACATAAGTTTTTTTTTCAAGGAAACAATTCTTCAAATGAAAGAGTATAGTCTTAAAGTCCCTTTTTGACAAATTGTTTTTAGTTTTAGTTTTTGAATTATTGTTAGAAACGAATTATTTTGCTTTGTTATTACAAACTATGGAAGATGTTTGAATCATAGAAGTGCAGTACTTGATCAGATAGTATGGCACAATATTTCATAATTCGAAAATTATTATCAGTATATCAATGGTGATAATGTCGCTTCGATAATATTTGTTCGAATATCTTCTTAAGAGTATACGTACAACCGTTTTTGTTAGCTAAAAATCTTTATGTTGCAGCGAACAGCAATGTATAAGATTTACGATCTTGTATATTGCATTGAAGCAGGTCCTTAAGATGTTTCTCTCCTTTGTAATTTATAAAGTTTATAAAGCTTAAGACCTCTCTTTAAAATCTAATCCTGAAATAAAAAAAAGAGGAGAAAAGACCTTAAATTCCTGGTGAAAACCATCAAGAAGCTGAACCCCCTCGACTTATTTGGAGGGTTTTGAATGTTGAGGATTCTTCTCGACAGTCATGTACTCATTCTTTAGACTCGAAGGAAGAAACCTGCGTGACTACACGACTGAGACTCGACGTTTCAGCACGTCCCATGAGAACTCGAGACGGTCAGTCAGTTGGTCTGCGAACCAATCGGGTAACGTTTGAGAGCCTCCGTCCCAACTCTTCTCCTCGACTCCGATTCTTGGGGCCCTGAATCAGTGCGACTCGTTCACTACCACGATGCACATCGATTTTACGTCGTTCCCTCTCACATTTCTCGGCCTTATTACTTAAAGCACTTCTCCGCTTTCGTTATGTGATCCACTTGTATTATATTTAATTCGAAAATCGGAATCGAATTATCAATTGATTGAAAAGGAAAATTTTATTTTTAGTGAAACTAAAAAATTCAAAATACGGTACAATCATTCTCACCTGTCGTGATGCAAAAGAGGATTCTAATTACTCTTTAAGTGTTGTTCTCCAAAGGTTAAAAAATCAAAAAGATTTCAGTTTTTTGTGAATTGTGATAAAGAATGTTAAATGATATACAAAAGTGATTGAGAGGGATATAATTTTATTTTAAAGTGGATTTTCAAAATTTATAAACGCCATGGCGCCTCCGGATGATCGGTACAGGTCGCCTCGTCCAGGACTCAGCCTCTCGTTTCTCGGTGAGTCTTTTGCGGCCGCAAAAAAATACTTTTCTCACCATATATTCAGTGTAAACCACCATCGCAGAAATTGCCAGACGCGAAAGCCTGGCGTCCAGCGAGACGTAAAATAAAAGCCTTTATTATAATCGTCAGGGTCGGGGGTCCGGATCCCAAGTTACTCTCGCATCCTCACAGGAAGCAAAGGAATGCGAGGTTTTGAGTTTGTAGTCAGTAGTGGCAAATTACATCCATATAAAAGACTAATTTGCCTGGTAGCTATGTAGAGAAGGGATCAGAAAAAATATAAATTATACTTGTTCGACAAATTACGACTGCATCAGATAAGAGCCGATAAGAGATCCAATTACAGACGAAATATAATCCTCCTTTTTAAAAAAAAGAAAATTATTATATCCGACAAAACCACAACATGCATCATAAATTAGTTTTTATTTAAATTTCTAATCGGAGTTTCAACTGACAATTTTTTTTTTAGATTAAAACAATATGGTATAATTGTAATTATATAACAATATTTATAATTATCTCTCTTTCTTTCTTTCATTCTTTCTTTCTTTTTTTCTTTTAGTTAAGTAGCCTTTGGTTCTAGGTATTGTAATTATTTTTCTTTCTCTCGATTAAATAGCCTCTGGTCCTAGGTATTAGAAGTATAAAAATATTTATAATTAGATGTTTAAATTTTAATATGACAATTAATGTGACAAGAAAGATGATTAGAAAAATCCGTTATGCAATAATTCTTGCAATAATAATTGATGCTTGTTACAATCTATTGGAGCTACAAAAGATGGGGAATAAAAATTGATTTATTATTATTGACGGTAGTAAAGATTGTGTGTAGCTTCAATTAATGGTCGTCATTGTTGGTAGCAGCTTTAATAAAGGTTATTGTAGTTTTACATAATGCAGGCTTTTGCCCTCATCTACTATAAAACCTCTACTATTTTTACTACTTTTTTTACGATTTGCTACTATTTTGATTTTTGATTCTTTTTTTTACATTTGTGACACTAAAAACAATTTTTTTTCGAAATTTAAGAATTTGCACTACTTTAAATTCGATATTTGCAATAAAAAAATGATTATCAAAAATAAAATTCGTAAAAGCAATTCATAAAAATTTATTAAAATTCTTTCAAACGATGCAATTATTTTCATAAATGTTTCGAAATTCAATTCTTTAAAAAAATATTTTTATAAAATTCTTTGCAAAAATTCAATTATTTTTATAAATAAGAAAAATTCTTCTCAGGAATTCAGTTATTTTTTAAAATTTTCATAAAATTCGTTGCAAGAATTCAATTACTTTTATAAATAATAACATTTTTATATGAATTCAATTCAAAAAATGTAATTACTTATTTAAAAAAAAAATTTTTTAATTCTTCAAAAGAATTGAATTATTTAAAAATATTTTGATATACTTTATTTATTATAGAATTTAATGAAATTCCTTTGTAAAAATTCAATTATTTTTAAAACATTTTTGTAAAATTCGTCACAAGAATTCAATTATTTTCAAAAATAATAAAATTTTCTAATGAATTCAATTATTTAAAACACAATTTTTATAAAATCTAAAAAAGAATTAATTATTTAAAAAAGTTTTAATAAAATTCGTTACAAAAATTTCAATTACTTTAAAAATGTTTTAATAAAATTCGTTACAAGAATTCAATTACTTTTATAAGTTAAAAATTCTTCGGAAAAATTCAATTATTTTAAATGCAATTTGATAAATATTTCTTGTCGGAATTGAATTATTTTTTTAATTTTCTTCGAAACAATTGAATTTGCATTTAATTTAATTCAATACAAATGTATTTGTTTATTTTTTCACTATTATTATCTATTATTTTCATGAATAATAAAATTTTTACAAGATTTCAATAAATTAATTTAATTTAATTTCAATTATTTTATGTAGATTCTTCGAAAAATACAATTATGTTTGAAAATTTTTTTAATTCTTTTAAAGAATTCAATTATTTTTAAAAAAATGTTGATAAAGTTCGTTATAAGAATTGAATTTTAAGAAATATTCAATTATTCAATAAATTATTTAATTTTGCATTTATAAATAATTGAATTCTTGTAGAACTTTTTAATAAAAATTGATTTAAAATTGAATTTTAGTTCAAATTTTAAATAATTGAATTTTTAAAGCATAGTAGCGTGAATTTTTAGAAATAATTAAATTTCAAAAGATTTTTCGAATTGAAATCTTTGAAAATTTAAATTTTTGTATAATTGTAATAAAATTAAAATTTTTATTTTGAAATAAATTGATTAAAGTTTAATTTTTGTGTGGAAATTATTCGTAAAATAATTGAATTTCAAAAAAAATTTGGAATTGTAATATTTGAAAATTTTAATTTTGTTTATATTGTAATAAAATTAAAATTTTTTATTTTGAAACAAAATGATTAAAGTTTAATTCCTGTGAAAAAATAAATAGGTATTTAAATATTATACAGTTTTTCTAAGGAAATGATTTTAAAGTTTTGAACGTTCAAATAAACGAAATTTATTTATTTCTTCTTCAAATTAAATTTTTAATACAAAATTTTGTGTCACTATTAAACAAATTAATTATAAAGTTTTTAAATGTAAAATTTAAGTTTTTAACATTAATTGTAATCAATAAACTATGAAAATATTTTTAACAAAAAAATATTTCGTTCATTTGAACGTTCAAAACTTTTTGTTCCTCTAAGGAAATCAAATTGAGACAAAAAACGAATAAAAAATGTTGCGAAGTAACGTTTTGATTCGTTTTTTTGTCTCAATTTGATTTCCTTAGAAAAACTATTTATTTAAAAATGAATATTCTGTTTTTAAATGTAATTTAATTTAGAAATTATAAAAAAAAATTGAGTCGACAAATTAAAATTCTATAGAACTTTTCCTTATGATGCAAATAAATAATTTAGTACCAGTTTAGTAGTTTTATATCCAATGGTTTATAGTTTTTTTTCCGTTTCTCCCCTCCTTCGTGGTAAAATTTATAGAAGAATTCAAAGTTTGTGATGAATAAATAATTCAAAATTGAAATGTTTATTCTCATATATCAGAGAAAGTGGCAAATAAATCTAGCATATATAACATAGTATGTATTATTTTGTCTATGGAGAGAAAAACGAGTCACGTTTCGAGAATATTGAATTTTGTAATAAGGTGCTTTTACGCGGAACAATATATATTATGTAGTGTAAATATAATAACAAAAAAATAACAAAAGTATTTTTTTTTTTTTTCAAAAAAACTAGGTAAATTTATGCTAATCTGCCAGAGGTTACAGTTATAACAGTTTTGCAAATGCTACATATTACGGAGATTAAGCAGGTCAGTAATATGCACTCTTTACAGCCGCACAATTGCAATAACCGTAAGAATTTTTCATATATATTATATTTTAAACATACAGTTATATTTCAAACATTCCATTTACATTTTGTGCTATAAAAATCAAATAATCCTAATTTAATGGGAAATCACGCTTTTCTTCAGGAATTTCTATATTTCTATTTAGAGACAATTAAAAAAGAAGTTTTATTGAATCATGCGGCGGAGAATATTTTTCTCATCGTCTTATATTCCGAAACCTTTTTTTTCTTAATTGGAAGAAATTTTTTTTCTTTGGTTTTCCTTTCTGTTTTTATAGTTTTTAAAGTTTTTCTGTTTTTATAGTTTCTCGGTTTTTATATTTTCTTAATTATATAAATTTATGTGTTTATTAATAATTAATCATTCGGAGGAAAAGAAAAATTGTTGAATGAATTCGTAATTAAATTACAATTTAGGTCACCTGTTGAATGGGGGAAGGAATACAAAGCTTAGCTTCCATCCTCTATTATAATTAATATGCGACTTAATGAGTAGCACTTCCTGAATGACAGAATTTTTTTTAATGTTTCACTAAATTAGCCGCATTTACTGTTTGTTGCTTTTTAATATCTAAAATAAGTTGTAACCTTTTTTTTTGAAACCGAGTGTGATTTAATGACAATCATTACAACTACATTAATTGGAAACAACCAATTTTTATTTTTTTATTTATTATTAATATTTTTTTTTATGTTTATCAGTTACTTAAACATTTCGCGTAAATTAATGACAACGATATACCGAAAATCAATTAATTTATACCATTTATAAACTTTAAGTATTCTTAATTTCATTAGAAAGTTGAACTTTATTAGGTTACATGAACACCTGTGTTGTTTATAATTGCCTTTCAATTATCTTTTGGCCTCCTTCATTTAAAATTCTCTCATATTAATTACTGCGCACTGCTAATTTCATCTTTCGTGTATAATTAAAACAATATCTCGCAATTGAAATTCAGATTCCAAGTTCCAATTTTTAAAAAAAGGAAAAGTTAATCTCGTTTTTAATACTGCCGAAAAATATGTTGGTACTCGATATTAATGTACGTTGTACAATTATTTACATGCGTAAATAATGTCGCTATAATGTGTGCGGTTTAAGAAAAAATTATTATTTCGAAATAACAAATATGGTAGAATTATAATTATTATATTTATTATTAAGATATTAGATAATTATTTTTTTCACGTTCGTAGCATATACAAGTTTTCTTTCAGATAACTGCACATTAAAACAGTTATATTTTTAGATAATTGAGCATACAAGTAAACATAAATAACATGTTTATTATTACTGTCATTAATATATCGGATAATTATTCAAAAATATAATTAATCACGTCAGCAGATATTTTTATTTTTTACTGTTTGGGATTAGATGACATATTTTTTCCAATAATGTGTAATTTTACACTGGGTAAATATCTATGGAATTATATTTAATACTCCACTGAATACTATGCTGAATAATATGCAAAAAATTAAAAGTTTATACTGAATGTAGATACAAAGAATTTACATTGAAAATAAGTATAAAGAGCTAATTTGTTTATTATAACTATACACTGTTGTGTATTTTAATTTGTCTCGAGAAAAAGACTCGAAAAA